TTACCCCTCTATTATTGCGAAATTAATATCTATCCTATCTTTCAAAAATAATAAACAAAAACAATTACAAATTACATTATTCTATAGAAAAATTATAGAAAAATTGTAGAAAGATTATATTAATAACTATAGAGGCATTTCACGTCAGAAATATCACGATTTGCAAAGGGTATGCCGATTTTCGCAAAAGTTCGTGGGATTATAGTTCTGTATAAGAGACTTCTTTCCCCCAAATTTTTTCAAAAAAAATTCAAAATTGTTGAAGATACGCCATTTTGAATTTTAATATTAATTTTATAAAATTTTGAATATCTCGGAATATTGTTTATGGATTTTTATGAAATTTACACATTTTTCAGGTAAAAGTATGTACTTTAAAATGCAAATAAAGTTAATAAAAAAAAATTAATTTTTAAATAAAAAAATTAAAAAAAATTTTTTTAAACAATTTTTTGTTTATTTACTCCTCTCTGAGAAAAATGTTATTAACATATTTGGATTCCTTATGAATTCACCTTTAATTTCATAAAAAAAAATTGATGGAGACTCAACTGGTTCCGGAGATATTGAATTTTTTGTAAAAAATAGTCATAGTTACAGCAGCAATGCACGACTGCGGTAACGTACTACGCGACTTGTGCAGTATGGTGCTATGGCGCGGCGACGCTTTTTTTTACAATAAATTCAATATCTCCGGAACCAGTTGAGTCTCCATCAATTTTTTTTATGAAATTAAAGGTGAATTCATAAGGAATCCAAATATGTTAATAACATTTTTCTCAGAGAGGAGTAAATAAACAAAAAATTGTTTAAAAAAATTTTTTTAAAATTTTTTTATTTAAAAATTAATTTTTTTTTATTAACTTTATTTGCATTTTAAAGTACATACTTTTACCTGAAAAATGTGTAAATTTCATAAAAATCCATAAACAATATTCCGAGATATTCAAAATTTTATAAAATTAATATTAAAATTCAAAATGGCGTATCTTCAACAATTTTGAATTTTTTTTGAAAAAATTTGGGGGAAAGAAGTCTCTTATATAGAACTATAATCCCACGAACTTTTGCGAAAATCGGCATACCCTTTGCAAATCGTGATATTTCTGACGTGAAATGCCTCTATAGAAAAATTAAAAAGTAAGTATAAAAATTGTAATAAAATTAAGAATATAAATTTATTGGCAAAAAAATTATTTTAATGCCAAAATGCAGACGAAAATCGACTCGAGTTCCAGGAAAAATAAAATTGCAAATGAATATATAAATAAGATCTTCTCTTGTTTTGTTAGAAACTTCACGCTTTCAAGCGGATTTTTCAGATTAAAAGTCGATTTCGGCTGCATTTTGGCAGAAAATTCTACACAATTTCTATAATATTGGAGATTACTGATTTGTCTTTTTTTAAATTAATCCTTGGAGTTTTGCGCATCAATACATGGTAATTTAATCTTTTAAAAATATTGCGAACATTCTTCAATTTACAATTGTTTAAAAGAATTTTCAATAACAATTATAAATTTTCATTTTCGAATCACAAAAAATTGATTGAGAATAATTTTTTTTTCAATTATTAGAGGATTGAAACTAATGTAATTTGTAAAAAAGTAGCTTTTAGTGTCAGAAATTTGACAAAAAAAGGAGTAAATAGTATAGATTTTAGTACGTCAGTGCGAAGCCTGCTTTTTTTATATATTGAACGTTTCCAAAAAAATATTACTTTTTAAAATATTACTGTGTTTAATATAAAAAAAATACCATTAATTATAAAATAAAAATTGGAATAATTTTTCTAAACTTCCGTAATATTTGAAACTTTGTAAGAAGTCTTATCATTTCTAAAAGTATGAACGTGAATTCAGAAAAACATTTACGTTATATAATTTAAAAAATTAATTAAACATGAAATTCATATTAGAAAATTATATTCAATATTACAATTGTTAATAAATTATATTTTATTAGTCTTCAAGAAAACTTAAGTACTTTCTAAATTTAAAATAAAGGCAATTAATTTATAATTAGGTAAGTAAAATTAACTATAATACAACAAAGAATTCTTAATCTCGTTATTTCATTAAAATACATAATTCTATAAAAATAAAGATCCCCTACTAAAAATAAAATCACAAAACGACATAAATTTAGTCAGAATCTCTGACGTTTTTAGGCTGCATTTGTTACAATTGCAGCCACAAAACGTCAGGCTTGAGTCATGTTTAATCAGAAAGCTTTAAAAGTAGTCAGGTTTTTTATACAAAGTCGACACCCTTTTTTACCTGGAAAAAGGTCAACTGACCGTCATAAAATTAAAGGAAAATCTTTTTACTTGTTTATATTCATATTTATTTAAACATTATACTTGTTTTTCATCGACTTAGAATTTATCTAACAATATGCTCTTATTATGCATGCAGTATATCCTTTAGAATTTAGATTTTATTTTTAGCAGGGTCTTTTGAAAATATCAAGAAATCTTATTATTAAATTAAAGCAATTTTTAAATTATTCCAAAGAAAAAATATAAATAAAAACGATTTAAAAATAAAATGTTTCATAAATTAGTTATTAAAAAAATTTCCACATTTCTTTAAACAATAATAATAATATTTATTATTATTATTATTATTAATATAAAATAAAAACAGCAACTTACTTAAAAAAATGTTATCCGCAATTGATATAGAACAATTAATTATTTTCCATTTAATTAACCATTCACTTAAATTTATTTTCACTATACGGAGCGAAATTGACAATAAATTGAATTCACTTGACAAATTTCTACACCATGTGACGCGCCGAGTCAGATTTGCGCGGTAAAGCTCTCAAAATTTAAACCTTTAAGAATTTTATTATTGTCTTTTCAATTTGAATTAGGGATTTATTTTCGAAGCGGAATCCTCGACGATGATGGCTCGTTTCCGCAACAAAGAGCTTAGAAGCTCAACTCCCGCGGTGAAAAACTATTAATTTGTTAATTTATAATTGTCAGTGATTATTGTTAGTAAATTTCGATTAAATTAAAGACTTCTAATTTCGTTCTATTTTAACTTTATTTTATTCTTGAACACGAGTTAATACTTCGGAAGTAGAACAATTTCTGCCTTCTCGTTTTCCTCCGAGACCCTACGGTCCCATCCTGGGGGCCTCCGCCCCCATCCCCGAGTGCCAGGAAGGAAGGCGAAAGTACGCCTCCTTTACTCTAATTCGTTAAAAAGAGGAAAAACCCAAAAAGGCGGAAAAAGAAGGTGTTTCAGATTTTTTCTAACTAGTCCATGCAGCAGGGATGACGAAACAAAAGCATCCCCTTTTTATTGCTCAGGCAAAAAAAGGGTCTTGGGGTTTCATGGTAACCAGATGCGCGATTTACTCGAGTTTCTTTAAGAAGCAATAAAACCATAAATGTGAATTTCAAAAACGTGACAAATAGGTAAAACATGTACTTATTTTTAGTGTTATACTCAAATAATCCTAAAATATTTATTACGGGAAGGATTAAGTTTCGTCGCCTCCACTGCATGCTCTATTGTATTTGAGTTTATGATTTTTCCACTTAAGATTTTACTGTGGGAAAGTATTTTGTCGATTTGCCCATGTTGCTTGCCAATATTCTAAATTATACGTAGAATTCTCAATAAATTAAATGTATTCATTATATTATATTAATTTGAATTAAACCGCGAATTTTAGTGCTGCCTCTATCGAGAGAGGAGCGTATCATACACATACGTCACAACCAAGAACACCTAGCTCCATCTCTCGAACAAACTTTTCACTTTCCTCAAATATGACAAATGTGGGGCTTTTGTCCAGTGGCGCATTTGACCGGTGGCGCATTTGTCCAGTGGCGCATTTGAGAAATTACCTGAATAAGGACACGCCTCTTAAGGGGATGTCAAAGTCGATGCGATTTTCCCATTGAAGCTCAATGCAAAAATCCAATCGACTTTGACATCCCCTTAAGCAGGGCGTTCATACAAAATTACCATGAGAAGTCTCCATAGGTACTAAAAACGCTTGATTTTTCTCTCCGTGTATTAACCTAAGCATCTACAGCCGACTTTTATTAGGAGTACTCGCATTCGCCTGGACCACCCGTCAATAGGTTTTCTCGACAGAGAAGAGGGAAACTGTAGAAAACCTCTCCTGAGTACAACCGGTTTATCGACAGTCGAGTTCTAATGGTGTGTACCGGAGAATAATCGACGGTGCACATCATTAAGGCGCTCGCACAGCTCTACTGCCAGCATGAGAGTAAGAGAGAAAAAACATGAAATTTGAATTTTCTGACTTACTTACTCTCATGTGTTACCATGACAACTATGCATGCATTGGTATGCATGCAGAGCTGTGAGAGCGTCTTTATACCTCGACGTCAAACCTCCCGCTCAGATTATCTCACGTGCCGGAAAAATACCAAGCCAAATGGGCGCGAACCAAGGATACTTATTTGGTCCTTAAACGACCGCCAAGCGAGGCATCTATCCGACTGAGCTAATCCGTCGGTTATGTAAAATATGTTCATTTAATAGATATACTAAAATTCAAAAAAGCTTTTTAATTACTTAATTATTTAATTTTAAAAAAAATTTTTTTTGTTGAAAAAGTGTCAATCTGTTTTTCAAAATTTTTTTATCCGACTTTCACAGTTTTAAATTTTTTTGTAAAAATTTATATCACAATACCATTAATTAATTTAGATTCTACATTAAATAGAGATTGAAACAATACCAAGAACGCTAAAAAAGTTAATTACTTTTCGAGAAATTATAAAATTACGAAAAGCATGCAAAATCCAGTATTTTTTCTGTATCTGACAGAATAGTCAACAAAAATTCTTCGATCAGGTGTCAGTCTTTTCATAATTTCATTAGCTTTCAGGAAAAAAATACGAACAAATTTTGTCATTCTTATTTTCTACGTTTTAAGCATTTTTCCACTCATGAAAAAAGGGGCGTCCTGATACTCACGGACGGTAGTGCGTACATAACATTTACATTTTAAAATAGGGTAAAGTTCGCTCGCACTTGAAATTATGATGGAATTTCCGATTTTTTCATCATTTCCCCTGGCTTTTCCTGGTTTTCTAGATACTTTTGTATTTCCCTAACGATTCCCGGTTTTCCAGACCAGTGGCATCCCTGAATTTTTAATAAAAAAATTCGAAAAAGTTACTTTTTTACATTTTTTAATTACCATTAATAAGTTATTGCACCTTATTATAATGGATCAGGTTCAATATAATTGATGCGATTGAAATGCTCTAAAAATAGTTTATTATGATTATTTAAAAATAACAAAAATTTTCAAATAAAAGTTTAAAAAAATTAATATTTAAAATATTTGTTGGTTTTAAATATATAGATTAATATCTCTGAATAACATACCTGAACTTATTAAAACTCTCATATTTTTTGTCTCCCTGGAAGATCTATATAATATAAGATTAAAAAATATGAATCTGTTTTCTGTGAAAAATTAGTATTTTTTTCTTTAGAAATTGAAAAGATTTTATTGTCCAATTAACTAAATTTAATATTGCTTAATCTATCTTGACTCAAAGTTTAGTATTCGTTATCATCCTAGGTTATTAAATTTGTTATCTTATAAGTAATATACATTTGATACTAAAAGTATATAAATAATCTTAATTTTATAATTCTGTTTCAGACATGACATTGATAAAAGATGATATTATCAAGTGACAGAAGTCGAAGACTATTTCTGATGAATTTTAATAATGTAATTTTAGTACTTCTGTGACAAAGGAATAGTTTTGGAGAAAATGAAAATTAATTATAAACAACTGCCAATTAAGGCTCACTACTTTTGTTTCATGGCAGGTATGAATATTAAATATTACATATTATTGATTTTACATAATGATTTATCAATTTCAAATAATTATAATTAACAACTTTATCAATAATACACACAAAAAAAAATATGGTAAATTTGACTACTTTTTTACTATTTCCTGTAGTTCCTATAGGCGCCCGTAACAAATTGTAGTTGTAACAATTGTAAAAAATAGTTAAATTAACTATTTAAAGTAGTAAAATGAAATTATTTATTTGTTTTTTATTATTATTGAGGTCCATTTTTTTATATTTTCTCTTACCTATTTTTGTTCATATATAATTTACATATTAAATTCTTATACACCTAACAGAGAAAAATCCCCAAACGCCGGGGATTGAACGCACGACCCTAACATTCGCAAACCGATAACCTAACCACCTAACCACGCTCGCACGCTACGATGACTGGCATCGTACTTGAGGACAATCTTCTTAGATTCAGTCATAATAACTACTCCGTTTAGTTGCAGTAACTAATTTTTTAAGCTCAAGGACTTAGTTGAAATGTAGCCAGCATATGATTTTAAATGACTCAACGATAGTGCAGTAGTTAAAAGTACTGTTGAAAATAGTTATTTTCAGAATTTCTGTAGTAAAATTATCCACTTTTTACTAGTTATAAAAAAATTAAACTTACTATTTTCATATAGTAAAAATAACATAAAAATTGTTACTTTTATGACTTTTGTAGTTATAAAAATAAATGTTTCTTACCACCATAGAGATAAATTATTAAAAGCTAGTAAGAATTGGTTCTTTTAACTACATTAAACACAAAAATAACAAATTCCAGCGGTTGTTTTTACTCTTTGGAACAGTAAATTTTAATTTATTTTGCAAATAGCAAGAAATGGATATTTCTACTACTGCACTACTGTTGAGTTATTCACAATCATAACGTGTAGTAGTAATTTTAACTACATAAAACCTACTATTCAATTTTATTTCCACTAACTATGGAAGTTTAGTTAAAATGCTGCTGAATATGGTAGTTTTAACTATATTTTTTTAACTGCACATATGTGGATGTTTTTACCACTCACGTTTTTTCTCTGTAGAAAAAAAAGATCTTTTCAACTGCATAAATAGTAAAAATAACTATTTTTAACAATTGATTTTACTATATGAAAACAGTAAATTTCTTTCTTTCTCTGCAACTACACTGAGAAAACTGGAGAGTCAAATTCAGAGGTTCAAAAAGTGTATGTTTCCTTTGCTTATGAAAAGAGTTAAATAGTCCTTCTAAAATAAATTTTGAATTGATAATGGGAATCTACTTGTATATTCTCTCCCATTATATCTGAGGGTTAAAAGTTGCGCAGAAAATGTGTACGATCTGATGCGCGCGAAATTATTTTTCTGACATTTTATGTATTTAATTTAGGGGTTAGGTTGCCATATTTATTCATTTCGCGCCGGATAAGGAAGGGATTTCTCAAGATGGTTAATTTGTCCCTCTGTTATAAACTCATTTTCCCTCCAAGAGAAATGGCACGAATATCTGTCAATGGTGTATTTGAACAATTTGAATGTTATCCAATAGCTAACTCTCAAATATGAACGATTTGTCCCTCCAGATGTTTAGTCCAATACTCCAGTTTTCTCAGTGTAGTAAGAAATAGTTGTTTTAACTACATAAATCATAAAAGTAACAACTTTCAGAGGTTGTATTTACTATATAAAAACAGTAAGTCTCATTTTGTTTGCAACCAATGCAAAATAGTTATTTTTGCTACCGCAATAGTAAAATTAACTATTTTTAACAATAGTTTTTACTACTACACTATAGTTGAGCCATTTACAAGCATCTGTTAGTTATTTCAACTACGTAAAGTAGTTATTTTAACTACATAAAACCAACTACTTCATTTTGGTTCCACTAACTAAGAAAGTGTAGTTAAAATGCTGCTGAATATGGTAGTTTTAACTACTTTTTTTCTAACTACACAAATGTGGTTGTTTTTACCATTCGCATTTTTTTCTGTGTAGGTACATTTTTTGACCTCAATTTGACACCAATTTGACGATAATGTTTTTTAGTAATCAACTAATTTTTTGAAGATAATTTTCAATAAATTTTTCATTTGAAAATTTTTTATTAAACTTTTGAGAATTTAATTATTTTTAGAATTTAACAATTAAAATTCTTCAGACTTAAATTTTCAAAAAATTTTTATGAAATACTTTAACCGTGACCTGTAAAGTGAATAATAGATAAAGTAGTTATCAAAGGTGGGCACCGTTAACCTAAAAATTAACGTCGTTAATCGTTAATTCGTTAAGTGAAAAAGTTAACTTCGTTAATAGTTAATCCGTTTACGAACAAGAAAATTAACGGAAGTTAACGTTAACCGTTAAAGTTAACATAAATTTAAAAAAATTCGTAATTGCATTCTAATGTACAAAAAAACAAATGTTCTTTTTCATTAATTTTTATTTTTTTACATCAAATCTAAGAGACACATGTTTACTTTCATAAACAACTAAAGTTTCGACAAAATATTTTTATTATGATACCCTGCTAAAAATAAAATCAGGAATAATAAGAAAACGTCAGAAAATTTGATGTTTTGTGACTACTTTAACGTTTTCTGAAGCTTTTGGTTAATTCTGACTAAAGGGTTTTTTATGCTCCTGTTGAATCCTGATTATTATGGATTGTGATTATTTCTCATTGAATTCATCTTTTTTATTTTTAGCCCCCACCAAAATATAGTGGGTAAATGTAAAGTACCGTTAAAACTTCAAATTTGTGCGTATCCATTTTTTCACAATAGAATCGTGGGTTTTTTGTTATGAGCTTCGGGGGTCTCTAACCTGATTTTTATTGCTCAAAAGTTTTGCAATTTTAACATTCAAGTGAAATCAATATAAATTCAGAATCTAAAAATCTCCACGATTACAAATATCTAAAATTTATTATAAAAACATTTTTTAAGGAAACTGTAACGTATCTCGAAAACCGTAATTGATAAATAAAAAAGAATATCATTTTTGAATTTAAGTTCTAAAGGATATTCAATGGGTTAGTGGAAAAAAAGGACACCTCGAATTTTGGTTAAAAAAGAGAACACCTCGCTTTTTAGTTGAAGAAAAGGACACCTCGAAAATATTAATTTTAAATGCATTTTTGTTTGACGATAATATGTGTAATTTAATTGATTTATGAGATTCTGTGCTCAAAAAACTATGAAGATAATATGTTCTTGAATCTTCTATTACAAAAACTCAAAAAACAATTACATTACACATAGTATCGCCAAACGAGAATTGATATAAAATTAATATTTTCGAGGTGTCCTTTTCTTCAACTAAAATGCGAGGTGTCCTCTTTTTCAACCAAAATTCGAGGTGTCCTTTTTTTCCACTAACCCAGCGTATTGTATAAATAATAAGAACATAACATAACATAACTTAGAATTCTAAGTCGATGAAAAACAAGTATAATGTTTAAATAAATATAAACGTAAACAAATAAAAAGACTTTCCTTCAATTTTATGACTGTCAGTTGACCTTTTTCCAGGTAAAAGAGGGTGTCGACTTTGTATAAAAAACCTGACTACTTTTGAATTTTTATGCTTAAACATATGACTTAAGTCTGATGTTCTGTGGCTGCAATCATAACAAAAGCAGTTTAAAATCATCAGAGATTCTGACTAAATTTCTGTCGCTTTGTGACTTTATTTTTAGTAGGGTAATTAAAATTAAAAAAAAAAGAAATTTAACGGACCTTAGTTAACGAAAGAGAAATGTAACGGAAGTTAACAAGTCCGTTAACTGTTTTTAAAATTAACTTAAAAGTTAAATCGTTAACGAAAAAATTAACGAAGTTAATTAACGATTAACGGATTAACGCTTTTCTGCCCACCTTTGGTAGTTATTAGTTTTTGGTTTAAAAAACCCTAAAGAAATTACACGTGACTATTTTTGTCGTATTCAATTTTAATTAAAAATTGTTTTGTTCTCATGAATATTAGAATATAATATTATTTAAACACTTTTCTATTTTATTTTATTTTATCATTAAATTGAGAAATTTTGACTTGATCAAATTGACGTCAATTTGATGACAATTGAAATTTAATAGAAAACTGCATAAAATCTAATATAAGTGAATTAATTTAATAAAATAAAATAATATTAATTATTACAACTAATTAACACTTTAAACAAAATCAGAAAATTTTCATCAATTTTTTGAAAAATTTTGATCATTGATTATAATAGTAAAAATTGACATCAAAATGACGTCAAGTTGATTGACGATTTCTCTTTGGGTGTAGTAGAAATTTAAGTTGTTCACAAATTGGAACATTTATACCTTATTGTACTTCGGTAATTAGTTTTTGTTTTCTTTTTCATGGTTCTGAAACAATAAATTGCATGAATTCTTCCCAAATGTCCATTCGGTAAAATGTTTATTCGATGAAAGATCTGTTATTACAGTCATCTGTAAGTTTGCAGGAAACTAAGCAAACTTGCGAAACTTGCAGGGCAAGCTTACTGCAAATAGCAGAATGTCCTCAAATTCCCGGTAAGTTTGCAGCTCAAGCTTACACTGCAAGTTTCTTACGCAAATATACTTTAAAAATACTTGGGAAATAATTATTAATAAAATTGTTAATTGTTCACTAATTATGTCTATCTGATTTTTATAAAGTATAGTAACGTTATATCATATGGATTTTATACCTTTTTCTTTTAGCAATGGGTCCAATTCTTCCATTCATGAGCGTTTATGGAAAGAAACTCGGTGTTTCTTCTATTGTTATGGGCAGCATTACGTCTGTGCTACCAATATTATTTTTACTGGCAAAACCAATTTTTGGATTTATCGTTGACTATTTTCAAGAATTTCGAAAATCGATATTTATAATTTTACTGGCAATAACAAGTACTTCGTTTATATTGCTTTACGTACTTCCTCCACTATCTGGACCGCATTTCTTAAAAACTCAATTTGAAAATATTTCCATGGCAGAAATTGATTTTTGTAATTCTGTGGTGAGATTAATTCATTTTATTGTTAATTTTTATTTATATAGGTAAAATAATGTAAGAGTTTATTTTCGTTTCTTTTTTTCTCTTATCGTTTTTCTTGAAAATTATTTTTTGCGAAAATATTTATAGGTAATATTAGTAATATATTATTAATTAAAAGAATATTATCAGGAATAAAAGATAATAATTTTTTTTCAGATAATACATCCCACAAAAGAATGTAATAATGGAATGGAAACGAATTGCAGTTGGTATTGTGAAAATGGGTCAAATTTCACATCTCGAATGTATTTTCATTCTTCGAAAAACGTTGATTTTAAAAGCAATTCGTCATGTTTTGTTTCATTAGTTTTGAATATGACTAAAAATTCAGATCTATTGTGCAATATCGATTGCGAAAATTTCTCAACCGATTGTCTCTATGCTTCATCAACATTTTGGGGATTTGTTCTATTATTGTCTATTGGAAATATTGGATTTAATGTTGCAAATTCAATAAGCGATTCAATTTGTTTCGATATTTTGGGTACGTGAGATCTATTTATTTATAAATGAACAAACTCTAGAAATTTCGAAAATTTTTCATTTTTATCACATTCCATTTAATTGAAAATAATTTTATAATAAATTTAATTATATAATTCTGGTACTATTAAACTTATCTCAGTGGACGAATTCCTTGCAAACTTTGGGAACTTTTGAGAGGTCTTACGTCACTTTATGGTCACTTTAGGTGTAAAATTCGCTGAGCTACAGAATTTTAAAGTCCAGAATGCCAAAAACCTCATTTCGAGAAAAACGAAATTAAAAATTGTAATACCAATATAAGAATCAGAATTCTTCTGGGAAGGGAAGTTATTCATAATTTGATAATAATTGTTTACAGTAAAGGTTTTTCGTAAAAAGAAAAATGAATTAATAGACTTAGGGGGAGAATAGGGTATCCCCTGACAAGCGTGAAAATATTTTATATTTAGTTGTTATGGACTTGATAAACTCAATAACTTCAAATTTAAGACATACTTAATTATGAACAATGAAAATAAACCATATAATAGAAAAAAATTAAAAAATCTATTTCACAGAAAGTCAACATAAAAATTTATAAGAGGTATACATACATTTTTTAAAGTGTCCGGATACTTTCAGGTTTTTAGAAGATTCAGTTATTTAAAAAGGAAGAAAATGAAAGAACTGAGTTAATATTTCAAAAATAAAATAAATTTCAATAGTAAATGCACATTATTATTATATTATAGAAATTAAGAGTGTCCGCGGGGCTATACGATTCTCCGCTAACTTATTGCAATAGTCAACAATTTTTCAGGAAATGGAGGAGAAATGAGTTACGGACGACAACGTGTTTGGGGAACACTTGGCTTTGGAATAACAGCTTTTTTATCAGGTTATCTTATTGATGTGTGGTCTATCGACGATGATTTAACATCATATTCTCCAGCGTTTGTTCTCATTTTCATATTTTGCCTCGCTGACTTATTATGCTGTCTTAAATTAGAGGTAAAAGAAATCTTGTGTGTAATGTTTTTCGTAAACTCAAGAAATTAACTAGAAAAAAATTAATTATTCATAATACTATTATATAGAAAAGTATTTTTCAAAACTAAAGTCAAATATAAAAAATGATTACAATTATAATGAATTTATTTTTCTGCCCAGTTAATTTGTGTAATACTTTTCCTACAATGCGGAAAAATTCCAAAAAGGCTATTTCACTTTTTAGACCATATTTATTAATATATTTTTTAGTTACCAGTAATATCAGGAACAGGAAGCATTATGAGGGATGTATTCCAATTAATAAGAATGAAACCAATTGCAATTTTTCTTTGCTTTGCAACAATAGCTGGAATTATTGACAGTTTTCTTATTTACTTTTTATTCTGGTTAGTAAATTGTACTGAAAAATATATCTAATAAAAATAGTCTAATTTAATAAATTAGAAAAATCTAAATTTAACATATAGCACCTCAACTTTTATTAGAAAATAGTTAAATTTTTCAAGAATTGAATACATTGCAGATTATTTTAAAAATGAATTAATTAAAAACTTTGCGATTCAGGTATCTTGAAGATTTGGCTACGGCGTCAGATCAAAAACAGCACATTAAATTAATAGAAGGTCTTATTGTTGCAGCAGAAACATTAGGAGCTGAAATTATATTTTTCTCCTTATCTGGTAAATTAAATGAATATTTATTATTTTGAAAACCAAAATACCTAATATTTTTAAATGAATTCTCTTTAGTATTGCCGCATTATAGGTAAAATCCTGAAAAAATTTGGATATGGATACATTTTTACTTTTTGCTTTGCCTCTTATGCTCTGAGACTTGGATTAATTTCTCTAATTAAAAATCCATGGTGGGTCATTTTAGTAGAATTTTTCATGCAAGGACCAAGTTATGCATTGTGTTATACATCTATTGTGGCTTATGCGTGTGCAATTGCACCACCTGGTACTTCCGCGACTGTTCAAGGAATTGTAGCTGGAATGGACGATGGTTTCGGTAATTCAATAATTTTATAACTATATAACAAGTTGTTCATATCATGATCAAATGATCATTATGATTAACAAATTTCTTAGAGAAGAAGCAAAATATGCTCATTATATGCATATGTGTAATTTTTAAATTGTTTTTAATTTTTCATTTTAGAATAAAAAATTTTAATTTTTTGTTCAATTTTGTCAGAAAAACATTTGAATGGACCCTAGTTTCCCCCCATTATTTTTCTTATAGTTGTCGAGTCATTTACTTTCATATTGTTGGCAACACTGACAATCGGAACGACGCGACGCTACACTGAGGGTGCGATCCCATGTAAGCAGAATACGTCGACCGAAAGCAGAAAATCATGAGTGCAAAAGAGATAGGTAGATATTGTTGTTCTTTTCACTCTCATGATTTTCTGCTTTCGGTCGACGTATTCTGCTCACATGGGATCGCACCCTGAATGTTCTCTAAAGGCGCTCTCACAGCTAGTAGGCAGCATACAAATTTGAATTTACTGTCTCTTTCACTCTAATTGATTTTCTCTCTTACTCCAATTACTGCCTGCGTAGGCAGGCAGAGCTGTGAGAGCTCCATTAAGGTACACTCTCACCTCACTGCCTGCCTGCCTGCGCATGCAGGCGCCATAAGAGTGAGAGAGAAAAAACATTTAATTTGAATTTTCTGACTCTCTTACTCTTTTATGTTTTGCCATGTCAACCTGCAGGCAGGCAGGCAGGCAGTAGGAGCTGTGCTAGCGCCTTAAGAATCGTGTTAGCTGAAACCGCGTGTGACTATTTTCTTTGTCCATATATATTTATTGTTGATCTGTGTTCATTTTTGTTTAATCCTGCAAGTCTATAAATAAACGACTTTAATTCAAAAGTGCATTATTTCACTCTGCAGCGCGCCCTGATATTTCCAATAAATTTGCTATTAATTATATAAATATTGGTAAAATGTATACTTTATATAATAATTTTGACAAGAATTAATTAAAATTTCTATACCCACAAAGCACAGACATTTTCTGCAAGTTTGCTGCAAGTTTTCCATGCAAATTTCGCAAGTTTGCATTGCAAGTTTGCAGCAAACTTGCATAAATATAAAAATGTCACCCACTTGGCAAGTTTGCACTGCAAGTTTGCAGCAAACTTGCGCCAAATAGCAAAAACTTAAATGTATGCGCAGTAGTTTACTATGAGATCTAGAGCTGTGCACTATATTTTAGTCACCTTCCCTGCTGGGAAGGCATCGTTCATCAAAATATATGCAATTTGAAAAAAAAAATTTTTTTTAATTTTTTAGGTATTTTAGAAAGTTTGCTACAAATTTTCCTCAAGTTTTCATTGCAAACTTGCCAAAAGGGTGACATTTTTATTTGTATGCAAGTTTACTGCAAACTTGGATGCAAACTTGCGAACTTTGCATGGAAAACTTGCAGCAATTCGATTCGAACTAGTCAATTCGAAGGTTCGAATTGCGAATTGCTCAACTCGGCTCGGTTAACTTTCGATTCGAATTGGCAGTTCGAATCGAATTTTCTCTCGATTCGAATCGGCCAATTCGAAGTTTCGAATTGCTCGACTCGACTCGATTTTCGAATCATTCGGCCAATTCGAAACACAACATACTGCATACATAGAGAAAGGTAGATTATGCATTTTGAGTCCCTCTAATTATGCGCTAAAATTGTGCACAATTATGCGGAATTATGCGCTTAAATTGTGTACAATTATGTGGAATTATGCGACTAAAAAAATGAATTCTGCGTTAATTATGCGCTAAAATGAGCATGATTATGCAATTAAAAAGAATTCTGCTTCAATTATGCGCTAAAAAATGTTCATTTTACAAAATTATGTTGCATTTACAAAATTTTTTTTGATTTGAAACGGTTACTGGTTATTTTTCGAAACCAACTTCCCGAAAGGCCCTATCCCGAATGTCTAAAATTACAAATACCTTTTTCCCGAATCAAATTTTCCGAAGATTTATGTACCCAAAATTTTTTTTGTTTTTTATTATGAAATGGATATATGTGCGACTCCAAGTATAAGAATTTAGTTTTTTCGGAGTAAGTAAACCAATTGCAATAAAATTCAGGAATTTCAATCTACACATAAAAAGAAATGTTTCCACCACACTTAATTCAGCAAAAAAAAACAAATCAATTGTTTATATTATGTTTATACAAATTTTTATAAACAAAACAGGTATTAAATAATAATTAAATAACTTTTGAACGACCAAACGAAATTGAATGAGGCAATTGCCTCAAGAAACCACAGCAAAGATTTGTTTAGTGTTTAAACACTAAACAAATCTTTGCTGTGGTTTCTTTAAGATTCCGAAAAAAATTTTAACAACGGAAACATCTTCATACAAAATTTTGTATAAAAGTATTCGAGATTTTAGACATTTGATAAATATTAGACATTCGGGAAAATGACCGGAAACGATTTTACTCATCATATATAGCACTTACTGCTTTTTAAAATTTAAGATTTATTTAATTTTTCAATAACATTTAACAAGTTAGTTAACAGTTTAAAAACTTATTTATTATTTAATTTAAAAAAATATTTTAAAAATAAAGAAACTGAAAAAAATGTTCATGGTTTTTAGTTAAGAAAAGCACTATCTTGAAAATTTTTAGCCTATTATGCGATCATTATGCAAAAAGAGTACAATTATATGCAGTGAGTAAAAAATTATGCAATATTATGCGCTCTAGAAACATGTTATAAAAGGTTTAAAACATGAATTAACATAATATTATAATGTTTCTACTTGATTTTAAAAAATTATGCAATTATGCAATCGCATAATCTACCTTTCTCTATGCATACACTACATATAGCAATTCGAAAGTCTAACTTCGATTTTCGAATTGGCCGACTTTATTCGAAACTCGAGTCGAGTCGAGCAATTCGAAATTTCGAATTGGACGATTCGAATTTTCTCTTGATTCGAATTTTCTCTTGATTCGAATTTTCTCTTGATTCGAATTTTGCACACCTCTAGATTTTAGGTACACTCAAATCTCGCTATAACGACCCAGTAATAAGGGGTGAATTAAAGTGGATTGGTACTTTTATGCCCTTAAATTCCAAACCAATTCCGTTTTTGTCCGCAATCTTAATGAATTCCTTTTCTATTGTTAAATTGATAATTTCTATCCAATTCAATTCTCTGTAACCACGTGACCAGAGTCTGAATTCACTTTAATGCCGTTTAAGGGAATCATTTGTTGTGGAGTTAATGCCTTTTAATTAACATTGAATTCTTTAAAGGGCATTAAAGGGGTTTCAAAATCTGGTCACGTGGTTATAGAGAATTGAATTGGATAGAAATTATCAATTTAACAATAGAAAAGGAATTTATTAAGATTGCGGACAAAAACGGAATTGGTTTGGAATTTAAGAGCATAAAAATGCCAATCCACTTTAATTCACCCCTTATTACTGGGGACCTTCTCTATAACGAGCGCTCTCTATAACGAGGGCTCTGTCTCTCGGTATAGCGAGAAAAATTTCCTCCCGATTACCCCCACTATTTATAAACAAATGCACATTCACTTGGTTTAAATTTGGTTAAAATCAATATTATTTATATAAAATAAAAATAAGAAAAGTCATAAAAAGTCACTTCTTATTTGAAATTATATCAATGAGTCGAACATCTTCAAAATTTTAGCTTATATAAATTTCTGTATGTTAAAGTTCAAACTAAACTAGGTTACGTTTGTAATTTTGACATTATGAAAATTGTAAACACTAAAAAAAATTGGACAAGTGCGAGTTGTACTCGCACTGCAATGGCGGGTTCCGCACACAAATATTAAAACAATACTTGCAACATTGATCGGTAATTGGTAGAATTAAAATAAACAATTAAAAAAATATATTAAAATCATTTGATAAAAAAAATAACTAAAAAAAAATTAAAGTATTGTATATATCTAATATTGTAAACAATAATAAGCAGAGGAACAAAATTTTCAAAATTATAGTTCCTCTGCTTATTATTGTTTACAATATTAGATATACAATACTTTAATTTTTTTTAATTATTTTTTTTATCAAATGATTTTAATATATTTTTTTAATTGTTTATTTTAATTCTACCAATTACCGATCAATGTTGCAAGTATTGTTTTAATATTTGTGTGCGGAACCCGCCATTGCAGTGCGAGTACAACTCGCACTTGTCCAATTTTTTTTTATTTTTAGTTAAGAAATTAAAGTCAGAAAACAACCTCTTAATTATTCTCTTAAAATTTCACTCTCTTCCTTAAAATATTTAATGCCACGTGTTTAAACTAAAAAAAATTAAAAAACTTTTTTTTTTTGAAAAAAAAATTTAAAAAAAAATTTTTTTTTATTTTTTTTCAAAAAGTTTCTTAAATAAATTTTTTGTCTTCAGACTGTAATAATACACTAGGATACCAATTTTCAGCTCATTAGGTCAAATAATGTAAAAGTTAGGAAAAAAAAATTTTTTTTTTAAAATTTTTTAGTTTTTCCTTGACAACGCTATGGCCATCATTACATATCAAGTTCTCTATATTTTTCCTGTAATATTCGAGTAACCAGAGTTCACCAGCATGCAAAATTTCAGCTCTCCATGTCGAATAGTTTAGAAGTTAAGGGGGGGGAATGGTCACTTTTTATGCATTTTTGGCCAAAAATCTTGTTATTTCCTTGACAACGCTATGGCCATCACGTCCAATCACATTCGCTATATTTTTCCTGTAATCTACGAGTGAAAATACATATCTGGACCAAATTTGAGCTCTTTAGGTCAAATAGTTTAGCCGCTAGGGGGGGGGGGGACACGATTTGGCTACGGACAACAGAGTCTCACCAATAGGGTTCCGCCGTTACACCGTAGGTGTACGGAACCCTAAAAATGAATGAAGAATTTTAAAAGTGGGGATTTCTCATTTCTCCTCTTGCGCTCGTAATAGAGGGAGACTTGACTCCCGAACTTCTCGTTATAGCGAGATAATGACAGGTATATATTACATAAAAATTGAAAATTGTCACGAGTGCAAAGCTTCCTCATGAGGAAAGTAAAAATAAATTTTTGTAATGTCTTCCTATTCTTACAGTTTTGATTTGTTTCAAAATTTTAAAAAGAGTAAAATAAAATAAGAGTTCGTCTGTTTAAAAAATCTAACTAAATTGTCCCACTCTCTAAATTTGAATCAGCGAAAAGTCGCTGATTCACCAGCCCAGAGTATGCAGCTGATAAAATAGCGTATATACACTGATGAAACAGCGTATATATGCACTGATTTTCCAGCGTATATACGCTGTTTCATCAGCTGCATACTCTGGGCTGGTGAATCAGCGACTTTTCGCTGATTCAAATTTAGAGAGCACAATAATAAATTATATTGATGCACAGTTTATATATAAACTATAAACTAATTGAATTGTATTATTTAAATCTTCGTCATTCCAGGTTTTGCAATTGGCAGTTTAATAAGTGGAATATTGTACAAAAACTTTGGCGGTGTAATTACTTTGTGGATTTTTACCTTATTAGCCGCTTGCACTTCTGTCTTATATTTTATAGTTTACATCACATACTTAAAACATACAATTCCAGAGACAGGTAACTACCTGTCTTCATTTTTACTTAATTAAATTTTAATCTTTAACCTTCAAGTTTTTTAAGTTGATAACATTTTTATCTGAAATTATGTTCAAAAAAATTTAATGAATGAAACTTTCTTCTATAGGTACAAAGAAGAAAATTACTCTGCAAACTCAAGAAGATGATGTGACACATAATGAGAACTTAATACAAGAAAATACAGTACAAATGAACTATTCTTAAAAATTGAATAATTTTATTTAAAATTAATCTAAAAATGAAGAAATCAAAAATATATTTTATTTAAAAAACTATTTAATTTTGTTAAGAAAAATTTGCAGCCCATCACATCCACCTCTCCATCATGCAATTTTACTGACTTTTACATGAAAAAAAATACATTGGATCACGTTTAGTATAGACACCTCTTCTTCTATAATCCTACCATGTGTTTAAAAAATGTTTGACCCTGGAGAAAAATTAATATTACACAGTAGAAAAAAATCTGTATAAAACAAGACAAAATGCACGAAATAGATCATTTTATTCTTCATATAATTTCCATTCAGAACATATGACTAAAAATTTTTTTTACAATAAATAAAAATAAATAAAATAAAATAAAATAAATAAATAAAATTTTTTTTACAAGATATGAATAAAAAAAGCGTCAAAAACAGGAACTTTTGAGTGATTTTTACTAAAGGACACTTTGACTACACGGAGAAAATGTGTTTCCTATATTTTACCGAATTTTTCAATAAAGTTGGGATATAGTAGCATAATCGTAATTTTTAATAATTTTTATATTATTTTTTTTGGTAACAATATTTAAAATCTAATGTGATTTCTTTATTCCTTAAGAACTAGTACTGTAAAAGTTTAAAAAAAATTGAAACTGAACGTTTAATGTAAATTAAATAAATACCTCCTTGATGGGCACTAACGTTTTAGGAATAGTTCGGTAAAACTTTCTTGACTTGCCCAAAGTGTTAGTTTTCAGGAATAGTTCGGTAAAACTTCCTTGACATGCCTAAAGTTTTAGTTTTCTGGATTGAAATACTTTATTTCAAGTGTCCCGCAGTCAAATGAAAGACTTTCACACTAATAGTTGATTTTTTCAACTTATTTAGACTTAATTAATAATCATTTTATTATTATTTAAATTAAAATTCCATTAATTAATTATTTTAAACACTTATTAATTGACAAATATGTAATAAATGCTTTTAAATCATGTAAAAAGAAAATATAAAATGGCAATAACATACTTATTTTTTAAACATATAATTTATTCATTTTAATTAAATATGAATAATAGTAAGTAAGTAAGCAAGCAATCAAGAAAGCAAGTAAGTAAGCAAGTAAACATAAGTAAGTAAGCAAAAAGGAAGTAAATAAGTAAGCAATTAAACATATAAGTAAGTATGTAAGTAAATAAGTAGGTAAGCAAGTAAGCAAAAAGGAAATAACTTGGTTGCTTATTAGCTTACTTTCTTATTTGCATACTTACTTACTTATTTCTTTCTTGCTTACTTTGCTTACTTGCTTACCTACTTATTTGCTTACTTCCTAATTTCCTTCTTGCTTACTTGCTTGTTTCCTTTTTGCTTACTTACTTCCTTATATGCTTGCTTGCTTACTTTGCTTACTTGCTTATTTCCTCCTTGCTTACTTACTTTCTTACTTGCTTATTTCCTTCTTGCTTACTTTATTCCTTATTTGCTTACTTGCTTATTTCCTTTTTGCTTTTTAATACCTCACAATTATTATTTAATATTTCAGAAAGATTAATTTTCTATTAATTAATTTAATAATTTCCAACTTGCACTTTTAATATGTATATTTTTAATTTTAAACACAAAAATTTGAGAATAATAAGGATTTTCATAAATTATTGTTTTATTCCATTAAATACAAATTTAAACATTTTTCTTTATAATAATAAAAACATAATTTAAAAATATTTCATAAATTGACCTTGAATATAGTTAGAAATGATTCATTAATATAAATAATTTTTAATTTTGTACAACGATAGTTTATTAATTTGAATCTTTCTCACAAGCGGTGAAATAAAATTGAGATTAATATATAAGGACAGTTGAAACTTTCTGAAGCAATAATGTAAAGCGTGCGATGTATGTATTAGTGTATGCGTTTAGAATGTACTGTAGGCAGGTGTATCAATTAGTATTTGTTCGTAAACAATTGTAGGGGGTTTAGGTAGTGATTAAAGTAGGTAAATTGAGAGTTACGGCAGTATTAATATAGATCTACTCAAGTAACATTATTTTTTATTTTTGTTCTTCAAGTTTTACCGAACTTTCAGTAAATTGCAACTCGTCAGTTTTACCGAAGACTTTATCTTACGTTTTACCGAACTATTCAATAAATATGAATGTAGCGAGCACTTGGCTTACGTTTTACCGAACTGTAAGTGCATGAAGCGCTAATACATGTATCGTGAGCTTTATGATTTTTACATTATTTTTCAATGCAATTTCTTTTACAGTCTAGTTCTTGAAAAATTACTGTTTTGACACTTCATCCCAGTTTTACCGAACTAAATTCAGTAAAATTTCAGGAATAAATTTTCTCCGTGTATATAAATTTCATAGAAAAAATGGTAGGGGAAATCTGAAAAAATTCATCAACATTCCTTAATATCTACTTTCAACATATTTACAAATTGTTTTTTAAAAAATTTTAAGCAATTGTTTACATATTTATTTTTAACGAGAAGTGCAATCTTGGCTTGTAATTGTGATAGAAACTTCAAACAAAATTTAAAATTTTTTTAATAAATTTTTTATTCTAAATTTAATAAAAGAATTATTGTACAAGAGTAAATTTCTTTTATATTAACAATTCTTTTTTAAAATTTTTTTTAAAAGTTACTCAATAGGGAAAAGTAATTGATACCCTCCGAAAACTCAGGTAGTATAGGGGAAAGGTGTACGAGATGATCCCCCTAAGGGAAAAAACCTATGATTCAAAGAAAAATCAACATATTCGAGTTTCTTTTGTACGCACTACTAGATAATTAATCTATCTAACTATTCTGATTTGAAATATTTGCAGCTAATTAATATTTTACTATTAAATTTAATTTTTCTAAAACCTTACAAAAGGATCATCTTAGACACCGGGGTGTCCAAGATGATCCCCCTGGTATGGGCAAGATGATCCGTAGGTTTATCTTACCCCAATTATTGGAAAAGGAGTATAAATTGATGGAATAACAGTGTATCAATGTTAAATATACTTTATTTAGGCCACAAACGCTTTTGACCAATCACCACGATTCGTTTTCCTATTTTTTAATTACGAGGCATTGTCTACAACGAGAAAATTAATAAAATAGATGTAGATGTCAACTTTTTGTTTTAGATAAGTTAGTTTTCATAATAAAAACATATAAGAAGCGAGAAAAATTAAATTTTTTATTAATACTAGAAAATTCACTTTGAGGTGAGACGAAATACATGGGAATTAGGGGGGATCATCTTGTACACCCATTGAGGGATCATCTTGCCCCAAATGCCACTATTTTGTAATTTGTTCGTAACTTAACCTACGAGCTCTGTTATTCCATAATACCAATCAGAACACTTAGTTGAAGAGATACTGAAGCCGTGAGTACAAGAAACATGGAATTTTAGCTACTACAACAAAAGTTATCTAAGCCCAAAGTTAAGCTTTCCTTAGATCAAAAGTATAAAATTTTTATTTTTTTCAATAGAATTTTTTTAATGACGCGTGTTGTCATGACAGTTTGACTGATTCATAGGTATGTCATTGGCAACGTATTACCGTATTTGCCTAAAAGGTGGCGCTAATAGGCTTGCCAAAATTCAAAAGGATCATCTTGCCCCAGGGGATCATCTCGTACACCTTTCCCCTACAATAATTCTTTTATTAAATTTAGAATAAAAAATTTATTAAAAAAATTTTTAATTTTGTTTGAAGTTTCTAGCACAATTACAAGCCAACCCAGGCGCGAAGTGACGCCGAGTTCAGGCTTTATAAAGATTGGCCGAGCATTGGTCAACATTGATTGAGCATGAGTGAATCAGCGAGAGCAGGACTGATCGAAGCTTTAATGTAACACCGATTCCAGACTGCAGCGCGAGCCTTGATTCAGCATTGGACATCAATGCTCAATCAATGCTGCGGACGCCTAATGCAGGACTGAAACAAGACTGCTTCCACTGTTCCCAAATTTACTCGTTTCTCACGTTTATTCAATATAATGTGAATATATGAATTATTAATAATAATAATAAATATTATTGTTATTATTTTAATTCATGTGCGTATATATACATATATATTTAATGACAATAAGTTATTATTTGTAATAATTATATTATTTTCATATAAATAAGAATATATTACTAACAATAAATATCATTTGAATAGTAATTTTAAAAAAATAATTTTAGTAAAAAAAGACAATTTTTCTGTTAATCGTTACATTTTTTTCTTGATTTTTAACAGACTTTTAACATTATTTATAAACATGTTCACATTTTTTATTCACAACACAACACACAATTTTATTATTTTATATAAACGCTTATAACAAAGAATGAAAAATATTCGCTCGCATGTGGGATCGAAACTCACGCACCCCGCCCCTAACGCATACCGGAAGTTCTCAACGCACGCATTTAAACCGCTCGGCCACAGAAGGCTGGAAGGCTTCTCGCCTAATCTACTATATCAATGCCAGTGCCGTCACTCAACATGGGATACCAATGTTCGTCCCATGCTCGATTCAAGACTCGGTCAATCTTGATACAATATTCAGTTTCTTTATTACCGTGTGCACTGTACAATATTATCTATAAATATTTATAAATTATTTAATATTAAAATATTTTTTCTGATAATTTTATAAGTTAAATTATATATTATTTTTTTTCTCGCACAGTGTCAAATTATTATTTTCAAATTCAAGAGTTTCGTTTATCTGAAAAATTTTCAGTGAAAAAAATGTTCATTAGGTAGTGATAAATATTTATGCTTAGTAATTTTACACTAGGATTAACTGTTTACTGAATATTATCAAAAATATATTTTTCGTCAAACGCGCGCGACTAAACACAAATACCACCATCCCATCTACTCAATGCTTTCCCCTCATGACGTCACAGGCGGGGAGTGTATTGAGTAGATGGGATGGTGGGAGCACGACAATCGCAACGTCACGCTGTAAAGTCTCAAGGTTATTTGTGTTTAGTCGCGCGCGTTTGACGAAAAATATATTTTTGATAATATTCAGTAAACAGTTAAACCTAGTGTAAAACTACTAGGCATAAATATTTATTACTACCTAATGAACATTTTTTTCACTGAAAATTTTTCAGATAAACGAAACTCTTGAACTTTGAAATAATAATTTGACACTGTGCAAGAAAAAAAATATAATATATAATAATTTAACTTTATTGATATGAATCTTATATAATTAATATAAATATTATACACTAAATAAATAATAATATTTATTTACCAATTGATATCTTAATAATAATAATAATAAGAATAATAATTTTTAAATAGTATAAAAAATTACTAAAAAATATCAGATAATAATATTTTAATATTAAATAATTTATAAATATTTATATCTAATTTATATCTAATATTGGTAAGTACACACGGTAATAAATAAACTATCAAGATTGATTCAAGATTGAATAAAGACTGGATGTTGAAGCTCCACTCACGAAGATTGACCGAGTCTTGAATCGAGCATGGGACGAACATTGGTGTCCCATGCTGAACCAATATTGAGTGACAATGATATAAAGACTGCTCCAACTCTGGGTTACCCACGCTGGGCGTTCAAGACTCAGTCAAGTTTCAACCCATCGTCAGCACTGGTCTTTCGCGCCTGGGAAAATTGCACTTCTCCTTAATAATAAATATGTAGACAATTGTTTAAAATTTTTTAAAAAACAATTTGTAAATATGTTGAAAGTAGATATTAAGGAATGTTGATGAATTTTTTCAGATTTCTCCTACCATTTTTTCTATGAAATTTATAGAGTCAAAGTGTCCTTTAGTAAAAATCACTCAAAAGTTCCTGTTTTTCACGCTTTTTTTATTCATATCTTTGTAAAAAAAATTTTTAGTCATATATGTTATGAATGGAAATTATATGAAGAATAAAATAATCTATTTCGTGCATTTTGTCTTGTTTTATAGAGATTTTTTTCTACTGAGTAATATCAATTTTTCACCAGGGTCAAACATTTTTGAAACACATAGTAGAACTTGATAACGTTAATTGAGGAGCAAGCTTTCAAAACTTGATAAATCCATATTTTCTTATTTCGAGAAATTGAAACAAATGATTTTTCACACATAACAATATTTGTTTTAAAATAAAAAATATGTTTTAATTTATTTATATATAACAATGACTTTTCATTTAAGACGTTCTGTTTTTAATTGAACTTTACCACAATTAAGTGATAAAATATATAAAAGGGCTGCGGTTTCACTATACCACCGATTAAAAGTTAATCAATGATTAAATCCTTAATTGACCAATCACGAGCGTTTAAACTGGCTTCCCAGTAAGAAGCGAGGAATTGAAAAGGATTGAAATAATTCAAACTCTGTATGGTGTAGTAGAAATTATCCAATACTATTGAATGCCATTTCTATCCAATACTTTTCTATACCATGATAGGACCACGTTTCGTCTAAAAATGAATGCTGCACTGAAAAAAAAATTTATTTGAATCAAATAAAAATTATTTGATTCAAATAAATTATCATAATGAATTACTTGTCATTTATTTGGTTATAATCCAATAAATGTGTATTTGAACCAAAAACATATTTATTTGACCTAAATATTTTATTTTATCGCATCAAATAACTATTTATTTGTATCAAATACAAATTATTCAAATCAAATAAATATAATATTTCAAGCTAGTAAATAATTATTTGAATCAATTATAAAAATTATTTCATTCTATATTTAATACAAAAATTTTTTTTTAAGTATTTAGTTTTTTTTTTAATTTATTAATTTATTATTATATTATATTTATATATTATATTTATTAACTGATATTTTAACAGACTTTTAATATTATTTACAAACAAGTTCACACAGTTTTTATTCACAACACAACACACAATTTTATTATTTTATATAACGCTTAAAACGAAGAATGAAAAATATTCGCTCGCATGTGGGATTGAACTCACGTCCCCCCGCCCCTAACGCACCTATTTAAACCGCACGGCCACTGAGACTTGGTGAGAATTCGGGCTAATCTACTATATCAATGTCAGTGCCGTATATTCTGTATCCAAATAACACATTTATTTGTCGAAAATTTTTTTATTTGTATTAAATAAATGAAATATTTAAGTGAAATAAATAAATGAACAGTTTCAAGTAATTCATTATTTTCGTTTCAAATAATTATTTAATTGATTGAAATATTTTTTATTTGTCTTGATAAAATAGTGTATTAGCTTTGAATAACGAATTATTCGGATTAAATAATTAAGTTTATTAGAATCAATAAAATAAATTTATTGTGTCAAATAATTTTTATTTGCATCAAATATACGAAGTATTTGAGTGAAATAAATAAAAGAATAGTTTCAACTAACTCATTATTTGTATTAATTAATATATAATAATATATAATAATAATATAATAATAATAATAAATAAATAATATATAGATATTATAAATAATATAGATATTATATTATATTAGATTATTATTATTATATTAGATATTATAAATAATATATATATATATATATATATAACTATATAATAATATATAATAATAATAATATATTTATTTATTTTTATTAATTAATACAAATAATGAGTTAGTTGAAACTATTCTTTTATTTATTTCACTCAAATACTTCGTATATTTGATGCAAATAAAAATTATTTGACACAATAAATTTATTTTATTGATTCTAATAAACTTAATTATTTAATCCGAATAATTCGTTATTCAAAGCAAATACACTATTTTATCAAGACAAATAAAAAATATTTCAATCAATTAAATAATTATTTGAAACGAAAATAATGAATTACTTGAAACTGTTCATTTATTTATTTCACTTAAATATTTCATTTATTTAATACAAATAAAAAAATTTTCGACAAATAAATGTGTTATTTGGATACAGAATATACGGCACTGACATTGATATAGTAGATTAGCCCGAATTCTCACCAAGTCTCAGTGGCCGTGCGGTTTAAATAGGTGCGTTAGGGGCGGGGGGACGTGAGTTCGATCCCACATGCGAGCGAATATTTTTCATTTTTCGTTTTAAGCGTTATATAAAATAATAAAATTGTGTGTTGTGTTGTGAATAAAAACTGTGTGAACTTGTTTGTAAATAATATTAAAAGTCTGTTAAAATATCAGTTAATAAATATAATATATAAATATAATATAATAATAAATAATAAATTAAAAGAAAACTAAATACTTAAAAAAAAATTTTTGTATTAAATATAGAATTAAATAATTTTTATAATTGATTCAAATAATTATTTACTAGCTTGAAATATTATATTTATTTGATTTGAATAATTTGTATTTGATACAAATAACTATTTATTTGATACGATAAAACGAAATACTTAGGTTTAGTAAATATTTATTTGAGTTGAATAATTTATATAATTGATTCAAATAATTGTTTATTAGTTTGAAATATTCCATTTATTTGATTTGAATAATTTGTATTTGATTCAAATAAATAGTTATTTGATGCGATAAAATAAAATATTTAGGTCAAATAAATATGTATTTGGTTCAAATACACATTTATTGGATTATAACCAAATAAATGATTTATTTGAATCAAATAATTTTTATTTGATTCAAATAAATTTTTTTTTCAGTGTAGGACAGAAATGGTATTCAAAAGGATAGAATTTTTTTAATGCTTCTTAATCTTTGCTTTCTTACTGCACGGAGAGAAAAATCAAGCGTTTGTAGTAAGACATGGTCTATACTTAAAAAGCACGGCGCTGTTTATACTCGATTTGTAGAAATCTATGCTAAAAGAGTATAGGTCTCTACTAAAAGAGTATAGGTCCCTACTCTTTTAGTATAGATTTCTACAAATCGAGTATAAACAGCGCCGTGCTTTTTAAGTGTAGACCATGTCTTACTACAAACGCTTGATTTTTCTCTCCGTGTGGGTATTCAAGAGGATTGATATCGTTACTTTTCATATTGCTCTCACTGGATAGAAAAGTATTGGACAGAAATGGCATTCAAAAGAATAGAATCTTTTTAATACTTTTCAATTTTTCGTTTCTTACTGGGTTTAATCATTAATTAACTTTTAATCCGAGTTGGTGAAACTAGCCCTTAGAGGTTTTGGTAATTTCTTCTCATCTAATAAAAAACATAAAAACTATAAGTCATGATTATGTCAAAAAGTTTTTAAATTGATAATTCATTACTATTAACATTCTTCCCCCATAAATTTAACAGTGACTGGTCGATTTTTGAGGTCTTTAAACTATTAAATTTATGGTTATCTGAATTTTTTGAAAAATGGATTATCAACTTTTGAAAACTTGCTCTTCACTTGTCAATTGTATATAAAATTTAATTTATAATAAATTTATTGTATTTTATTAATACACATATACCTTTTTGTAAATATGCTTGTAGTTTTTCTTAAATAAAATAAACAAACTTCATAAAGTTATTACTTTATAAATTTTATTTTATCTATTTTATTTAATTAAAATAGTAATAAAATTAAAAATTCTTTTTGATGCAAATGTCTTTCAAAAAAAACTCGAAGAAGAAAAGTATCGGACTATCGGTATATCGACAATCGATATATCTAAACTGCTCCCTCTAGTGCGAAAAGATATAAACACTTTTTAATATATATAAAAAAAATTCCTCACCGGTATTCCAAGCGTTGTCGAGCATTTACCGCATTTGCTGTGAAAAATAATTTTATCTGTTAAATTTTATAAAAGCTCTGACAAACTGTTCTTATCAGTTTTTTGTGCTTTAGTTCAAGCTTATTGATATAGAGAATCTCACCAACTTAACAAACATGCCTGAATACAAAGTTGGTAAGTTAAAATTTACATTCTTGCTCCTATGAATAAAAACACGTGTTGTGCTAATTTAAATAAATTAATATCCTTGTAATTGTCAGGAAAATTTTATTATAACATATGGATAAAATATTTATATCCAATGTACATTTAATAAAATGATGAAATATTGTTTAATGCAGAAAATCTCTTATTTTCGTTATTTTGAATAATAATTGAGTACTAATTTTATACTCGAGTATACTTTATTATTATCTTTTGTGATGTAAATTTATAAGATATAAAATTCTATAATTATCTTTTCAGCTAACATTTCCTTATCCGAATGGGGAAGAAAAGAAATAACTCTTGCTGAGAATGAAATGCCCGGTTTAATGGCATTAAGAGCAAAATATGGACCATCAAAAATTTTAAAAGGAGCACGAATTGCTGGTTGTCTTCACATGACTGTACAAACCGCTGTTTTAATTGAAACATTAGTTGAACTTGGAGCGAAGGTATAAAAATATTATGTCTTATTTATCAAGAACAAGAATTTAGAACCTGTTTTTCTTTCCATAGAAAATTTCGAACCATAATAATATAATACAGTTATTTTAAACTCTACATAAATTTAAAATTCATTTTTGCTCTCACTTTTTTTAAGGTGAGTCATTCCATTGTAGGTATTTCGACCAAAGTCGTCTTTTTAATATTTTCTCCGTATTTTCTATTTCGTGATCTTGAGACCTTAAATAATATTCCTACAGAGTATTTTGAATATAAATTAGTCGGGAACGACTAAGAAATTTAGCATCTGAATCTTATCTTCACTTCTTTTATTTATTCACAATATTATTATCTTTCGCTCCATATTATGATTTCTATTGTTGAAAGGTCACAGGTCAAATATAAATAAGATACTTTACTTCTCTTTAATTGTTTTGATAAGGCAAAAATCAATGATTTTGCCAATGGTTAATAAAGTAAAATAAAACGGAGTTTTGCCAGAAACAGTAATAAATAATTATTGTTCTATTTATCCTCAAGGTGAGGTGGTCTTCCTGCAACATTTTTAGTACTCAGGATCATGCAGCTGCTGCAATTGCAAAAGCCGGTGTTCCGGTATATGCCTGGAAAGGAGAAACTGAGGAGGAGTACATTTGGTGCATTGAACAGACCCTTCTTTTCGACGATGGACAGCCTTTGAATTTAATACTCGACGATGGTGGTGATCTGACGAACTTAATTCATGAAAAGCATCCCGAATATTTGGAAAATTGTCGTGGAATATCCGAGGAAACAACAACTGGTGTTCACAATCTTTATAAAATGTTTAAGGAGGGAAAACTTCGAGTTCCTGCGATAAATGTCAATGATTCTGTGACAAAGGTTCGTTGTTATTTATTAATATAAGAGGCATTACATTTCAAAACGACCCCCTTCATAAACAATTGCCATTGTAAGGCAATTTTAAAATAATTATTTCTCCTATTTATTAAAGCCAAACTTTATTCACCAATACTGTTTTTAAAAGAAAAATTTCTCAACTTTACGATAGTAAAAAAATTTTTTTTAAAAATAATATTATTTATGAAAAAAATTAAGTTTGAAAGATAACCTTTTGAATATCTCAAAACACGTTGCCTCCGATTTTCTTGAAACTTATGTCAAAATAAAGCTTAAATATTCTAGTTTCATTCCCTGTAAATATTATAATGGACAGTTCAGGGGAATTTAAGAAATTAATTAAATTTTACAAAGATGTCAGAGGTTAAACTGTGTAAAAATTTATGAAAAAAACAAATTCCGCTCGGTACATGCATTATAACCTCTGACATCTTTGTAAAATTTAATTAATTTCTTAAATTCCCCTGAATTGTCCATTATAATATTTACAGGGAATGAAACTAGAATATTTAAGCTTTATTTTGACATAAGTTTCAAGAAAATCGGAGGCAACGTGTTTTGAGATATTCAAAAGGTTATCTTTCAAACTTAATTTTTTTCATAAATAATATTATTTTTTTAAAAAATTTTTTTACTATTGTATTTGAGAAATTTTTCTTTTAAAAACAGTATTAATGAATAAAGTTTGGCTTTAATAAATAGATAGGAGAAATAATTATTTTAAAATTGCCTTACAATGGCAATTGTTTATGAAGGGGGTCGTTTTGAAATAGAATGCCTCATAAATATATTAAGTGCGAATTAATTAATATGAAAACAAATTTTAGAGTAAATTCGATAATTTGTATGGATGTCGAGAATCATTGATTGACGGAATTAAAAGAGCTACTGATATCATGATTGCCGGAAAAGTTTGTGTTGTTGCTGGCTATGGAGACGTTGGAAAAGGTTGTGCGCAAAGTTTAAGAGCTTTTGGTGGACGGGTGATAATTACGGAAATTGATCCCATTAATGCTCTGCAAGCGGCAATGGAAGGCTATGAGGTATTTTTCTTTTATAAATAGTACAATTGAATCGTAAATTTCGAAAAGGGCTCAACTCGGATTTTTTTCAAATTTCACTTTTTTGCATTTTTTGTAATATTACATATTCATTGACGTTTTCTTAAAAGAAAAACTTAATCCGAGGTACTTTTAGAGGATAAAAGGTATTAAAGTGTTTTTTCATTTGAGTTAAAAAAATATTTTACACATTTTAAAATTAAATAAATAAATAAATCAATTGTTTCTCTTCTCAATAGTAAAACATTTTATTATAATATATTTTTATGATTAAAACAATTAAATTTTTTTCATGAATTTCGAAAAGGGCTCAACTCTGACAACTGTAATATCAATTTTCTCCAACTCACTGGTATTAAGGACAATTCTTTTATCATTTTATTATATGAAATAGCATCTAGCTACTGCGAAAAAAAGCTCCAGCTTTTTTTAATTAAAGCTGTTTGAAATAAACAGTTTTTTGTGTCTCCTGTAAAATTTGAAAAAAGAAAAAACCGATTTGAGCCCTTTTCGAAATTCACGATTCAATTACTCTTTGTTGTAGTATGTTTAACTAATATTATGTTCAAGGTAACAACAATGGAATATGCAAGTCCCAAGGGTCAAATTTACGTAACAACAACAGGTTGCAAGGATATCATTACCGGGGATCATTTCTTAAATATGCCCGATGATTCAATTGTTTGTAACATTGGACACTTTGACTGTGAAATCGACACCAAATGGCTCAACAAAAATGCCACTGAAAAAGTCAATATCAAACCACAAGTTGATCGTTACACATTGAGTAACGGAAGGTAAGAATTTTTAACAAAAAAATATATAAATTCTATCAATACGTTAATGTTAATTTTCGGAACCGATTTCAAGTTTTCTAAAAAAATTTCTAGGCACATTCTTCTTCTTGCTGAAGGTCGTTTGGTGAATTTGGGATGTGCCACGGGACATTCCAGTTTCGTCATGAGTAATTCATTCACAAATCAAGTATTAGCTCAAATTGAATTATGGACAAAGGCTGAGTCTTATCCACTTGGTGTTCACATGTTGCCGAAGAAGGTAAAAAATATTATTAAATAGTAATAATAATTAAAGAATCTGAATTTGTTAAATTAAATGGAAATAAATATTGTGAGTTATTGTATTTTTAGTTGGACGAGGAAGTGGCTGCTTTACATTTAGAAAAATTAGGAGTAAAACTAACAAAACTCACGCCAGCACAAGCGGAATATTTGAATATTCCACTTGAGGGACCCTACAAGCCCGATTATTATAGATATTAAAATTCTCTGTGCCTCTACACATTTAACCAAATGAATAAAAATACATTTTTTCAAATAAATATCCGAGTTTTAATTCAATACTCAAGTCACACGCAAGATTTTATATAAATTTAAATTAATTTTAAACTTTTAATTAGAGAAGATTCCGATTCCGTTAGTAGATTTATCTGCATTCACTCGCTTGTTTTGAAAATTAATTTTTATGGGTTATTGGCATTTTTTTATCTTTTTAATAGAAAAAAGTCCAGAATAGATTTTAATTAAAAAACACAAACATAAGAATGAGTTAAAGAGGAACAGATATACTATATCTCCTTCCTTCTCTAACTCATTCTTATCACTGCGTTTACGTCTTCGTTCTCAATAAAAGGTCTATTCAATTCTTAAACGTTTTTACTTTTAAAGAGTTTTCTTCAACAGTTACGTCAAATTTAAATGAAATTATTATTTTTTATGGTCAAGTTTTCAAAAGATTGATTGCCATATTGGAATTTAGAAAGCCTGCGTCAGATTTGTAAATAGTAACCTCGAAATATGTTAAAAAAAATTTTTTTATATACCTAATACACTATTGAAAGTTTAAAATAATATAAATTGAAGATTTAATTTTAATGAGTTGTTTAGTAATGTTATAATAATTATTTATTTAAAAATTACTTACATTAAAACTAATCCAAATTGTTTAGAAATATCATTAGCGCATGACAATATTCCCACTAGCTTGCGCGCAGATACTTAATTTTGCCAATTTTAATAATAATGATTTTTAATTTTTTTCAAATAGATGAATATCGGTATAACCTTTTTTTATCAACATGATGAATGTTTTCTAATTTGATCATAATAATAATAAGTGATAAAAATGAAACCTTTAGACATTCCGCCACTAAATGTCAGCCCATTGATAAAGGTATGGAAAATATAGAATATGAGAAAATTTAATTTGTAATCAAGATTCGTGGTAGAGAATCGCCGCCAAGTAAAAAGCAAAAACCGCGAATATATATTCTCGAAATATCGGCAGTTTTTCGATAAAATTGAATAACTCGAGTAAATCTTAACCGATTTGGCTCATTCTTTTTTCGTTGGATAAAGAATCAAAAAGGAAAGTTAAGTTTATTTAATATTTTATATAGTTTTATAGAATTTAGGATAGGAAAACCGAAAAAATAACGATATTTTGAGATTTAGACGTGGAGCGTAAACTCTTAAATGGATTTCTGAAATACTCTAGAATATTATTAATTAGGTTAAAATCTAGATATACATTTCAGAAAATTTTAATATACTTGGAATTTTTTTTAAATTTTTGATTTTTCTCAAAAAAATTGAATTTTTTGACATTTAGACAAACGCAGAGACTAAACTTCTAAACGGTTATGTGAAATATTTTAGAATATTATTGATTGGGTTAAAATCTCGATATATATTCCAGGAAATTTTAATACACTCCATATTTTTTTAAAAATTTTGATTTTTCTCAAAAAAATTGAATTTTTTGACATTTAGACGAACGCAGAGATTAAAATTCTAAATGGATATGTAAAATATTCTAGAATATATTATTGATTGGGTTAAAATCTCTATATATATTGCATGAAATTTCAATACATTAAGTATTTTTTGAAAGATTTTAGTTTTTCTTAAAAAAATTGGATTTTTTGACATTTAGACAAACGTAGAGACTAAACTACTTAACAGATTTATAAAATATTTTGAAATATTATCATGGATTGAAAGCTTGAAATTTATTTTAAAAACTGTAATACATTATTTTTTAATTTTTAATTTATGTTTAAAAAAAATTTTTTAGTTCAATCAAATCATCAATTTTCTTCTCTATTCTTTTTTCATTTTTTTATTATGTAAAAATTTCTGTAAAGAATCATATCTTAAATAAATTCTTATTTAAAACTTAATTGTATTTTATTTTAAATTATTAGATCAACAACCACAATATTTTTACAATTAATTATTTCATTTATTAAAAAGTTGAAATGACGCAAAAAGTTTTAAAATCCCAACAAAAACATCTTTGATGCAAAAAGTTCCGCCAAGTAAAAGATTTTGTGACTGTCCAAACAATTAGTGAAATAAAAGTTTACCAAGTAAAATTTATAATTAAAATTTTAATAAATTGATTGATTTTAAATATTTTCTTTCCTACACAACTCGAAGTACATATTCGATACACTGACCGCGGAGTTCGTATACGAGCTCGGTAGCTCGTATGAGAAATATGAGAAAACTCTCATACGAGCCTTTTCCGTAATGAGAAGTGTATAGATGCTTGTATACGAGGTGACTTTTAAAGCATTTTTCTTAATATAACACTATTTTAAAGTAAATGTAGATAATAGAAATGAATTTTCAAAGTAAAACAAAGCTAAATTTATAAAGGAAATGAAGTTTTAAGAAGAAAAAGGATAATTTTGTTCAAAAAATTTATTCACACTGAAAAAGGTTAGAATTTGATAATTCCTTGTTACTCTAACTAACCGACATTAGATATTTCTCGTATACGGTAAGCAGATTTTGTATTGGCGGTAGAATAAATAAGTTTTTTTCATTACAAATTAATAATATATTATTATTTATTTATTATATAAATGTTCTTATATAAAATAATTAAATTTAATACAAAATCTGCTTACCGTATACGAGAAATATCTAATGTCGGTTAGTTAGAGTAACAAGGAATTATCAAATTCTAACCTTTTTCAGTGTGAATAAATTTTTTGAACAAAATTATCCTTTTTCTTCTTAACCCGTCAGCAGTCGCGCCTTTTTTAGTGTCTCACTTGCACTCTAAGAGCGCCCTATAGGTCGAGTAGTGTTGCGTGAGACTTTTTCTCACGGCGCGACCGCTGACGGGTTAAAACTTCATTTCCTTTATAAATTTACACGGAGAAAATTTGTTCCCTACATTTTACCGAATTTTTCAATAAAGTTGGGATATAGTAGCATAATCGTAATTTTTAATAATTTTTATATTATTTTTTTGGTAACAATATTTAAAATCTAATGTGATATCTTTATTCCTTAAGAACTAGTACTGTAAAAGTTTAAAAAAAATTGAAACTGAACGTTTAATGTAAATTAAATAAATACCTCCTTGATGGGCACTAACGTTTTAGGAATAGTTCGGTAAAACTTTCTTGACTTGCCCAAAGTGTTAGTTTTCAGGAATAGTTCGGTAAAACTTCCTTGACATGCCTAAAGTTTTAGTTTTCTGGATTGAAATACTTTATTTCAAGTGTCCCGCAGTCAAATGAAAGACTTTCACACTAATAGTTGATTTTTCCAACTTATTTATACTTAATTAATAATCATTTTATTATTATTTAAATTAAAATTCCATTAATTAATTATTTTAAACACTTATTAATTGACAAATATGTAATAAATGCTTTTAAATCATGTAAAAAGAAAATATAAAATGGCAATAACATACTTATTTTTTAAACATATAATTTATTCATTTTAATTAAATATGAATAATAGTAAGTAAGTAAGCAAGCAATCAAGAAAGCAAGTAAGTAAGCAAGTAAACATAAGTAAGTAAGCAAAAAGGAAGTAAATAAGTAAGCAATTAAACATATAAGTAAGTATGTAAGTAAATAAGTAGGTAAGCAAGTAAGCAAAAAGGAAATAACTTGGTTGCTTATTAGCTTACTTTCTTATTTGCATACTTACTTACTTATTTCTTTCTTGCTTACTTTGCTTACTTGCTTACCTACTTATTTGCTTACTTCCTAATTTCCTTCTTGCTTACTTGCTTGTTTCCTTTTTGCTTACTTACTTCCTTATATGCTTGCTTGCTTACTTTGCTTACTTGCTTATTTCCTCCTTGCTTACTTACTTTCTTACTTGCTTATTTCCTTCTTGCTTACTTTATTCCTTATTTGCTTACTTGCTTATTTCCTTTTTGCTTTTTAATACCTCACAATTATTATTTAATATTTCAGAAAGATTAATTTTCTATTAATTAATTTAATAATTTCCAACTTGCACTTTTAATATGTATATTTTTAATTTTAAACACAAAAATTTGAGAATAATAAGGATTTTCATAAATTATTGTTTTATTCCATTAAATACAAATTTAAACATTTTTCTTTATAATAATAAAAACATAATTTAAAAATATTTCATAAATTGACCTTGAATATAGTTAGAAATGATTCATTAATATAAATAATTTTTAATTTTGTACAACGATAGTTTATTAATTTGAATCTTTCTCACAAGCGGTGAAATAAAATTGAGATTAATATATAAGGACAGTTGAAACTTTCTGAAGCAATAATGTAAAGCGTGCGATGTATGTATTAGTGTATGCGTTTAGAATGTACTGTAGGCAGGTGTATCAATTAGTATTTGTTCGTAAACAATTGTAGGGGGTTTAGGTAGTGATTAAAGTAGGTAAATTGAGAGTTACGGCAGTATTAATATAGATCTACTCAAGTAACATTATTTTTTATTTTTGTTCTTCAAGTTTTACCGAACATGTATCGTGAGCTTTATGATTTTTACATTATTTTTCAATGCAATTTCTTTTACAGTCTAGTTCTTGAAAAATTACTGTTTTGACACTTCATCCCAGTTTTACCGAACTAAATTCAGTAAAATTTCAGGAATGAATTTTCTCCGTGTAGATATCGTTTTTTGTGAATGTTAATTATGAAGTTAAATTTTATTTGTTACAATTCAAAATGCAATGAAGAACATTGACTGAATTCGGAAATGTAATTAAGCCGCAATGTACAATAACAACAGCTAAGCCCGGGTTGTTTTTTTCAACTGCAATAAATATGTACTTCGAGTTGTGTAGGAAAGAAAATATTTAAAATCAATCAATTTATTAAAATTTTAATTATAAATTTTACTTGGTAAACTTTTATTTCACTAATTGTTTGGACAGTCACAAAATCTTTTACTTGGCGGAACTTTTTGCATCAATGATGTTTTTGTTGGGATAAATACTTTTTGAAAAATTCTCAGTTAGCGCGATGGGTTTTTTTAATTGCCGGTATTTATCACGGAATTGTAAAGCACAAGGAATATTCAATTGAAGCAGCCATATTTCGTGAGGAGGAAAAGCAGAGGATTCTATTAAAAAAAGAAGAATTTGCTCGAGAGGAAAATCTGAGAAATCAGGGTACAAAATTCTAAGTCTAATTGTTGTATTTAAGGGGGAAGTCTACTGTGCCTTTGTGGCACTCCTTCAAGCGCAATTCCGTCTTTTTTTGGGTGCACAAACGGTGTACATGAAATCTCACGTCTGGGTGATCTAAAACAAAATATGGTTGTCATCTACATAGTATTGACTCTCGTCTGACGAAGAATTTTGTCGATATCTTTCTTTGTTTAATTGTTATAAACAATAATAAAATCAAATGTAAAAGAAAAAAATTGAAAAAATTTCAAGAATTTTTTTTTCGGCGCCAAAATTTTTAATCGACAAAATCTTTCGTCAGACGAGAGTCAATACTATGTAGATGACAACCATATTTTGTTTTTTGTTTTAGATCATTTTAGATCACCCAGACGTGAGATGTCATGTACACCGTTTGTGCACCTAAAAAAGGACGGATTTGCGCTTGAAGGAGTGCCACGACGGCAATTTTGAATATTTCGTATTAAATTTTTTTTTACAAATAGTTGAATATATAATAAAGATGACGGTTTAATTTAATTTAATGTACCAGTCATATTTTGTTAGAAAAAAAATCCACAAAAATTTGCCTGTTTTTTCTCTTGTCACAGTAGACTTCCCCCTTAATGCTTATATCTACTGAAACTTTCAAAATAACAAAAGAAATTTTTTCCCTTAGAGACTGCACGAGAACTTGCTGAAGCTTTAACTGGTTTACGCGTTAGATTCGAAAAAGTATTTCCTTCTGAAAATAGTGATGATTCTATAGCGGAAACCGAATCAAAATTGATCAAGAAACCTGAAATAGAAAATACTTCACAGGACAAATAGCTATCTATTAATGAATCTATTTTCAAAGCTAATACATACCGCGTATTGAAATAATCCAAAATACATTCTTCTATTCAAACAGTCACCTTTTCAGTCGAAAAGAAAGTGCAAAACTCTTGAATTCAAAGTTATATTCAAAAAATAATTGTTCCAAGCATTTTGTCAAAAAAACAATAAATAACGGATTTTTGTATTTAACTATTTAACAAAGTATAACGTATTTACAATTTCTCCCTAAATTTATTTACATTTTCAGAAGAATAATACTTTCCTGTAGACAACAACAGCCGCATCCGGTTGGACACAATGTCTCGTTTGTAAACCATGCAGCCAAATGTTGTGTGTGACCACCATGGCCACAAACTATACAGAAATTGCTAGGGCCTAAAAAAATAAATTTCAAAATTGCTCATAATTATTATTAAAAATACGATGAGAATATTTAAAAAACAAAATTATTAAAACTATTGAAAACATTTTTTTATCTCAATCAATAATTGTAAGAAAATTGTTTTTCGATTGTTGAGAAGAATAAAATTTTGAATAAATAATTAACTTAACAGATATACGCACAATTGAAAATTTAAATGTCGAACAAATTTAAGTGGAAACTAGAATAAAAATATATGCAACCCAAAAGAAACAATTTTTTCAAATTATTAGCAATTAAAACTAAAAAACTTTCTAATATTGTAAAATTAATTTCCAATTAAAAAAACACTTTCTCCAACGCTTGCTCTGAAAGGAGTACTTTTCTTGGTAGAAAAGTGTGGCGAAAGTAGAACTTTTCTCAACTGTTCTGAAGAGCGTGGCGAAAGTAAATTCAGCGTGGCGAAAGTAAATCATGACCTAATTCTTTTTTCTTGTTCTTTGACCGAGATATATTTTGTATCTAACTTCTTCCCCACTCAAAACATTCGTCTTTTATTATATTAAACATAAGCACACGTTAAATTAAAATTATACGAAACTCACGAAGAAACCTTTCCTCGCAAGGCATTGGAGAAAACGTAGTACACAACACGTGGTGAAAGAATGATTTTTCTCGAGTGATTGCTGCTCTCTCTACGCTCGAGCCGCGAACTTCGCTCTCGAAAAATCACACTTTCGCCACTAGTTGTACAATGTACTATTGAATAAACATTTTGAAATTAATTTTATTTTTTATCTTTAATAATCAAAAAGTATTTAAGTGTGCGACTCCAACTTAAAATTAAATGGTTTCGGAGCAGCCTCACCAAATTACTTGAACTTGCATAAAGTTTCAGAAAATTAACTTTTTGAGCTACAACAATTTTTTTTTATAAATATAATATACAACAAAATTATATCTTCTAAACAATTAAGGATAAACGAGTTTATATTTACAAGTAATTTTTGAAAAAAATATTGAAAATCAAAGTTATAGAAGTTGCATTTTTGTCGGGAATGATAGACAATATGGCGGCTAGCTATGTGTGGAGCTATGTGTCGGTGGTCCAGAAGGTGGCGACAATTCGAGCTAGTGGCCGCGACTGAACTAAAAAAATTACTCCACATTATTTTTTTCTTAAAATCACTTTTTCGCCAAATTATTGTCAAAATGGAGATAACCCCCCTGCAGAATACTATTCTCTATCATTCCGAATAAATTTTACCTCGAAATATCGTATTCAAACAACGTATAGTGTATTCTATGAAAGCCCTTTTTTGCTGAAAACCGAATGTTTAAACCATTTTTTTAACAATTATTTATAAAAATTATGCTAAATACCAAGATGAGCCCCCTGCACGGTATTTTCCTCTATATTTCCAAAAAATTCCTACCAGAAATATTTTTTTCTTAAATTCGGTGTATTCAACGTTGCCAACTTGTATCACGCCAGTATGAACCAACGTCAAACAAAGCATAAAGAATTATTTAAATTTCATCCTCTAAGCTGAAAATAAACATATTAGAGAAGAGTGCATATTAGATTTTCAAATTTTAGTACAATTAATAATTGAAATCTATAAATAACGCAAACCTTTAAAAGTAAACAAAATTGCGCACGAGGGGAATGGAACTAACGACCCATGGACTTTTGATTAACGCTCTAACCACTACCGTCAAATAGGCTAACTCCGGACAGGAGGCTAACTTCGGACAATCGTATATTTCTGTAAATATTTTGTATTTCCATTCTACCTAAAAATTTTTATAAGGATTTCCAATTTCTATTGCTTTACCAAACATTCAAGGAACATTATATGACAGTTGAGAAATAAAAATAATCAAAAAATTTAAGAAAAAAATTAATTTAGTCAGAAGAGATTTTAGGAAGTTATTGAACTTTATGAAAAAACTTATTTTTATAAGCGAACATATGTAAGGTAAAAGCTATTTCTTTTTTAAAATTTAATCTACTATGTCTTGACATAAAATTAACACTAATTTCAATAACCTAAATTCGAAAATTTAAAACAAAAATACGTAAATAATATAATTATCCAAAATAATTTTAAATTACACAAAAAATTATACGGTGTCCGAAGTTACCCCACTTTGAAGGCTAACTCCGGACACTTGTTTTTTACTTCACAGAAAATAACAGAGGTAAATAAAAAAATGTTAACTAGAAATATCAACACACAAGACCCTAAGGATGATATATTCTGAACGTCAAACTTCCAGATATTATATTATAAAAAATATTAATAAAAAACATCGAAAACCGTCCGAAGTTACCCTATTTGACGGTATGCTAACGACGCGCATATGCAGTAAAGTTTTAATTCTTCAGATTTACAATTATTGAATTAAAGATGAGAAAAAAGTAGGGATACCTTAGAAATAATAAATTGAAATAAAATAATTAAACTAAAATTTTAATCATTGAATTTTACTAGCGATAATTTTCAAATAATTTCTTATTCATAATATTACAGGCCACCAAAATTAAAATATTAAAACAACCTTTCGTTTTGACCTTTTAACCCCGTTTTCCTCGAAAACCAGAGCTGATGGCTAATTTTAATTTACGGATGGCTAATCAGTGTAAAAAAACCTATCAGAAACAACTTCTACATTTGCCGCACCAAAAATCAGTGTCGGCTATAATAAGAAGATTAATAAGATTTTAATAAGTACCAAAGTATCAGTAAAATTTAAATTAAATGTTGGCAAAGAGCATTGTAAAAAATGTCTAAACTTTGAGGAAACAAAAATTCTGTACTGCGCCAGCACTAATTGTCGAGGATAGGCTTGGACTACGGCTAACCAATAGGCTTAGTACTAAGCTGGTGGTAAGCATCGCCACTAAACTGGCAGAAACTGATTCAAATATATGCATAGTTTACGTTTTGCAATGGACACTGTTTAAGATTGTGGTAATTTTGCTCACGGGTAAGAGGGCCCCATCGCGCTTAAGTGCCGTAGGGTTTGTCCGTTTTGCAATGGACACTGTTTAAGATTGTGGTAATTTTGCTCACGGGTAAAAGGGCCCCATCGCGCTTAAGTGCCGTAGGGCCTCTCGTGTCCTAAATTCGGCCCTGTACATATATAAAATTTAAAAATTTTGAGCAATTGTATCTTATAAATAAAAAATTGTTGTGGCTCAAAAAGTTGATTTTCTGAAACTTTATGCAAATAAATGTAATATGTATTAATTAACAAGTATCAAGTAATTCGGAGAGGCTGCTTATATTTTCATAAATAAATAAAAATAAAATATCTTACTTGGTGATTGAATAAAAAAGTTAAAATTTTCATTACCTCTGACAGAGATGTGGCAAATTGCACATTGAAAAGTTAAGCGTTTGCAATTACTGCACTGGGGACCCTTGCCTGTCTTCCCGCATGACGAGCATTCACTTTGATATTCAATACTTTTGTTTATATCCGTCTGAGATGTGCTAACGTGCTTCAATACTTGAGCTCTTGCATCTAAAAGTTTCCATCTATGCAAAACTTCTGCATAAGCTTTTTTATATCCATCATAGAGAGCAATATTTTTTTCATCAATTAATCTAGAAAAGAAAAGCAGTATTTACCAAATAAATAATAAATAAATGCAATAATTTGTAAAATGATATTAAAAAATAAAAACGAATTTCTATAAATTGTACCTAATTTATAATAGTATATATTTTTAATAATAAATTCAAAAAGAGGAAAATTATAAATTAAATAATTAAAAACTAAGCCCAAGTATTAGGTACCTAACGTTGCGACCGCATTCTCCGAATGCATCTTGAATAACTTTAAGATCATCTAGAGTCTCGGACCAAGAATTCGATCGGTTTTGTTTCAAATTTTGAAAATTCCATCCTTCTAGACTTGTATCTGCTGGATGTATCGTGTGATATGGAGATCCACCAGGCTGAAATAAATCTTCATCTTAAAAAGAAATTTTTTTTGCTAATTATTAAAAACTCGAAATTCCAACAGTTTTTACCAACTAATATTGCACGATTTTCACAAAAAGCTTATTTTTTAAAAACACATTTCATCAGTCAGAATAAAATAGAAAAAGTATTTTATTGGTGAAAGAAACAAATGTAAATTATTAAAAGAATAAAAATTAAGCAAAGTTATTTTTTGTACGTAGCAACATTGAAGTGTAAATTGAACACAAAAGTTTTCTCATACTTGATGGTTCACATCTCAATATATATATATATATATATATATATATATATATATATATATATATATATATATCAGTAATTAAATATTTTTAATTTTAACTTTTTTCAATTTAAGGGAGAGTGACACCTTTGACCCGAAAAAAATTAATTTTATTTTTTTTTACTTAAACGATACTTTATGAGGTGTAGAATAGGAATTATGTCATGAGAAGTAATTTCGAAGTTATTTTATGTGAAAAAAATCGATATCTGTAAAAGGTGTCCAAGAGCGCTTCGAGTTCTTTTTAGTGCCATTGGATATTTTTTCTTTTATCGTAGCAGCTCAAGAATACTGAAGACAGCTTCAAATTGCTTTAAAGGATGGAAATGAAGGAAATATTAATGTAGAAAGTCACTTATATGGTGCAGGCGTCTTAGATTAACAGTAGTTTCATTTTTCATGTTTTCACATTACATACATCAAATGTCAAAAATGACATTTTTCAAAACGGTGGGCAGTCTAGCCAAAACAGTTTTGATCGAATTGACTTCCAAAGTTTTTTTTTGTTCGTTATTTACTAATGCTTTCGAGTACGTAGCGGATTTTTTTT